ATTATTATTATTATTATTATTATTATTTTCTAGTTTTGTTCCAGCCTCCAGCTGGAGGCATATAATCTGATAAAAAGGTCAAATCTTTTAGTTCTGTTCAGTTTTATGGTATAAAACAAAATATACAAAATATGGAACAAAATGATTTGGAACAAAATGATTACACAATGAATTGGGACACCCCACACATTAATGACGACAATTTTGTGATGATGAAACCAATAAACTGGATTGGGTCTTTGGCAATGTCATGAAAGAAAATTGCTTTTAAACAGTAAGAAACCTTGAGACAATTCTGAATCTGTCAAAAGTGTTTCCTCTTCTGTTTTGACAATGGAAACAAGAAGAAAACTAAACCGTAAAATGCTGATGTGGTCTGTAGCAAATCATTTGAAATCAACTAGAGCAAAATACATTTATAGAAAGAAAATATGAAGGTGAGATGACAGTAAGCAACCTAAACCGCAGGATATAGCCCTGCAGCATTAAATGCATGAAGACTAAAGCAAAACTGAAGGTCCCCCAAGCAGCATAAATATATTTTAGTGTTCCCTATCATACTGTAACACTGAGCTTTGGTAAAAAGAAGCTTTTAGGCCTAATCCTAAGAGTTGAGCACTTGACTAAACTAAAATAAACACATAAAAGCAACACAGAGAGCAAAATGTTCTTTTGGGGGTGTTTTGTGATAAAATGAGTTGTCAATTAAATGATGGAGCTTGGTCATTACGAGCTTTGTACAGCATACAGGGAAAATGATTATATTGTTTATTCTGAAAAAAAAAAAAAACTGCCACTAGGGGCCACAAGCCAGTGTTATCTCTTGTGCCGATCCCAAGCCAAGGTAAATGGTTAGGTTCCACAGGTTGGATGTGACATAGAGAAGAAAGAAATTTTGGTAGGACCTTTGCTGGATGTCCAGCCCCTGCTGCTGATGTCTTTCAGAAACTGTGGCCCGCTGAGCAGTTTTGTTAAATAGCCCAGAGCTAAGGCAAAGCAGAAGATGCATGATGAATTGTATGAGAGGCTGGACACTAAAGAGGGTGAGAAAGACTTTTACTAATTGGCGAGACAGAGGGATCAGGCTGGAAAGGATGTGCAGTAGGTTAGGATAGGAATGGTAATGTTAAAGATAGGAATGGTAATGGTCTAACAAGTGAGGAGAGTGTGTCAGTAAGATAGAAGGAGTATTTTGAGGAGCATGAATGAATGAAGCAAATGAAAGGGAAAGAAGAGTAGAGGTCATAGACACTGTGGACCAGGATGTGGGAAAGATTAGTGAGAGTGAACTTTGAAAAGCTCTGAAAATGATGAAGGGAAAGGAAGTAGGACCTGATAAAATACCAGTGGAGGTTTGAAAATGTCTTGGAGAGATGGCAGTGAGGATCTAGGCTCAAATATTCAATGGCATATTTGAGGGTGAGAAAATGCCTGAGGAATGGAGAATAAGTGTACTGGTGTCCATTTTTAAGAAAAAAAGGGTGATGTACAGAGTTGTAGCAACTACAGGGGAATTAAGTTGATGAGTCACACAGTGGCAGCACGGTGGTACAACTGGTAGAGCTGCTGCCTCTCAGTGAGCAGGTCCCAGGTTCAAATCTCGGTCTGGGGGCCTTTCTGGGTGGAGATTGCATGTTCTCTCCGTGCATGCATTGGTTTTCTCTGGGTACTCCGGCTTCCTCCCACAGGCCAAAAACATGCATGTTAGGCTGATTGGTAACTCTAAATTGTCCCTAGGTGTGAGTGAGAGAGTGAATGGTTGTTGGTCTTGTTTGTCTCTATGTGGCCCTGTGATGGACTTGCGACCTGGCCAGGGTGTACCCCGCCCCTCGCACAATGATTGCTGGACATGGGCACCGGCGACCCCCGTGACCCAAAATGGAAGAAGCGGGTAAAAGATAATGGATGGATGGAGTCACACAGTGAAGATCTGAGAGAGAGTTGTGGAAGCTAGACTTAGATGAGAGGTGACTATCTGTGAGCAGCAGTATGGTTTCATGCCAAGAAAGAGCACCGCAGATGTCATCTTTGCTTTGAGGATGCTGATACAGAAGTACGGAGGGTCAGAAAGAACTTAATTTTGTCCAACATTTTTCAGTCAGGTCATCTGGACAGTTTCTTTTTTTTTTGTGCTGAAACGTTTCGCCTTTGATCCAGAAGGCTTCATCAGTCAAGGAAACACACAACAAAACTGATTCTTCCTCCAACAGCTTACTCCAAAGTGGAACAAACCAGTTCTGCTTGTGATTAGATGGTCTCTTTGGTACGCTCCACCTCCATTGATGGCCCTCTTCCTTGTTGACAGTCTTGTCAAACTGGTTGAAAACAACAAAGTTCATGCTCAATAATCCAGCTAATCACAAGCAGAACTGGTTTGTTCCACTTTGGAGTAAGCTGTTGGAAGAAGAATCAGTTTTGTTGTGTGTTTCCTTGACTGATGAAGTCTTCTGGATCGAAGGCAAAACCTTTCAGCACAAAAAACAGAAACTGTCCAGATGACCTGACTGAAAAATGTTGGATTTTATATCTGGATTATTGAGCATGGACTTTGTTAACTTAATTTTGTCTTTGTGAATTAAGAAATGCATATGACAGGGTGCCGAGAGAGGAGGTGTGGTACTGCATGAGGAAATGTGAAGTATGTTAGACTGGTACAGGACATGTACTGTATGAGGACAGCAGGACAGTGGTGAGATGTGCTGTAGCAGTGACATCTTCAAGGTGGTGGTGGGATTACATCAAGGATTGGCTCTGAGCCCCTTCTTGTTTGTTCTGGTGATGGTCTGCCTAACAGATGAGGTCAAACAGGAATCCCCGTTGACTATGATGTTTGCAGATGACATTGTGATCTGTGATGAGAACAGGGAATAGGTGGAAGAGAACTTGGAGAGGTGGAGGTATGCACTTGAAAGAAGAGGAATGAAAGTCAGCTGTAATAAGACAGAGTACATGTGTGTGAATGAGGGAGGCAGGAGAAACAGTGAGGCTACAAGGAGCAGAGGTCACAAAGGTGCAGGACTTCAAGTACTTGGGATCCACTGTCCAGGAAAATGGGGAGTGTTGTAAAGAGGTGAAAAAGAGAGTCCAGGAGGTAGTTGGAGTGAGGACAGAGTATGCAGAGGACAGAGTGAGATGGAGGAGGATGTGTTGCTGTGGCAACCCCTGAAGAGAGAAAATCCAAAAGAAGAAGTTTATACTGGGAAAATCGTATTCTTCTTGTCAGCTCCTAAAGGAGAAGTTTGGATTTCCAACTCATACAGAACACGGTTTCCTCTGTGAAACTTTGATCCTTTGTCTGTGGCTGCTTAAAGACCCAATACAAACTCTGTTTTAACAGTAATAGAAAGAGGAAATTGATTTATTACCTGTAATACTGAAAAAAAAGTCAAATGTACACACCTTGTAATTTTTTAAGGGTGGGCTGTGTTGCAGTCATGGTATTTGGACCCCAGGGGATGTGACAAATCACACTATGCCCTGACCTTATAGGAGCCACCTGTTGCAAATGCCACATTACCATGCCTGGCAGCTTAAACAAAAGGTTGCCAGGACAGGATCATGTGTAGGGCCTCATGCAATAGCCACCCTGCTTTTCCTTGGCAAACTGTGGCAGCTCAGGCATTTCCCTGACAGCACACAGCAGTACAGATGATCTGCTGGCTCATAAACAAGCTGAACTCTCCAACTACCAACCAAAACAGTACAGCTTGAGCTGGTTTCTCTTAATTTTCTGACTAATCCATTTTAATCAATCTACTGTTTGTTTTGGTGACCAGCTGCAGGCTCTCTTCATCCAGATGTTGGAACAGTTCAATAAAAAGGAGACATCACTTCTGAGTTTAGATTGAATCTTTTACTGGCAGTCATTGTTGGGCATGAGACAACATATACAGACTACAACAAGGAAACATTTGACTTACAGACACATGAAACAAACTACAAACCGAGTGAACATTCAGATTAAACATTCAACATAAAAGGTGTCTGCTCTGAATTACATTTACTGAGCTGTTTTCTTCTTTATTGCATTATCCAAAAAACACCATTTTGTACTGTTCAATCTAATAGCAGGATGCCTTTGGGCTCTGTTTCATGGTCATTAGTCATTATTACTGAGTCAGACAAAACTGCAAAACGATAACATAAATATATACAGCATTAATTAGACAATTTACTATTATAAACACATAACACACTCATTACACATTTATTATATGTTGTTTTAAATGATCTCTCTAACAATCATTGTCATGTTATACTGACACCTGAAAGAGACTTTCAGCTTCTGGTTTTAGCAGCTATAAACAATGTACATATATTATATGGGACAATGAAACCAAAATGTTAATACAATACTGCCTTAAAGTGCGTACTGGTTTGCTCAGCCTAAACAGTCATTAAATGCTACTGCAGACAGACTATAACTGATAGATAACAGTCAGGGTCTCGTAACACAAGGACCACTGAAGTACAGCAGAAACAACACGTGTGGAGACAAACGGCAGTAGGAAGGGCAGTTTGGGCACTGCTCTGACTCAGTGGTCCATATCTTAAGTTGGCATTAGAGTCACAAATGTGTTAAAACACTGAGCTTAACGATTACAAAGAGGTGAATATCAGCTTTTAGTTAAGTCCAAAAACAATTTGCAAAACGTCGAGTCTTTCCTGTTCTAAGATCACTTTTTTTATCTAAATTGCACAAAAATAACAGGTGGAAATGCAACAGATGCTTTGCTTTCTGTTCTCATTTTTCATCTATATGAGGGCATTCACAAAGTAGACATTTGGAAGGGGGGGGGGGACGCAAAAAGTCGACCAAGCAGTTTTGCCAGCGTCACGTGATGGGTCACCGGCTGTATAGTCTGTTGAACTCGTGTCATAGCTTTTGTTGAGAGATTAACAGAGAACACACAACGTGGAGCTGGGCCCTGCCTGACAGAGATAGTCTCAGTTCTGGTAGAGAACCCAGAGGGACCAACATTTTCCAAACTAACGTCCACCTCAACTACCGCCGGGATGCAGCTCCGTCATCCGACCAACTGATTTAAATCTCCTTGAGATTGGCCCCTTGGCTGCCAGTGTCACAGAGATAAAAAGAAAGAGAGAGCACTGGTTCATTAATTCTTCCAGCCCCCCTCCAATGAAACCGCACCTTGTTCCCCAGAGCACCGTCCACCAACACAGTAAGTCTGATCGTCACTTCACTGTCACTGTCATGGGGGGGATTAACTCAGAGATGGGCAGGAGTAGCTTGGTAACCGTGTTTGAACGATATGTTCACAATATGGACACTGGTCTCCCTTGTGCATCTAAGGATGACTGGGCTCGTGGTGTGAGGACAAAAGGGAGAAGGAGGTATCAGAGTCCTGTGGGACGTTGCTTCAACCACAGCTGAAGGAGCCTTGAACAGAAGATACTCCATCACCTCTCACAGTAGTGGAGAGTGAAAGTTTTGGAGAGCTGTTTCTCCCCTAAACACCATGGTTCCAACTCAGATTTACTTTCCACATCCTCTTCTTCATCTTCCTCCTCTTCCTCCTCGTAGTGGCTGGGTTCCTCTATAGAGGTCTCAAGGTGGTAGGAGTATGGTTGACCCTCTGTGTACTCATAGATGGTCGGTAGACTGCTCTTGAGGCTGCAACGCCGTCGCAATGCAACCAGTAGTGGCTGAGGCATGGTAAAAATGTCCACATTGTTGCCCAGATCTATCCAGGCCAGACTGGAGAAGTTTTTGGGTTCTTTAAGCATTTCAGTGAGGTCCTTAAGTATGACCAAGGTGAGGCGGTTACCATTGAGAGCAAGTGTGCTGAGTTTGGGCAAGGAGGCGAGAAGAGGCAGCAACAACCTCAGGTTGTCGTCGTGGAGTTCGGTAAAGCTGATGTCCACAGCCAAGATACTGTCTTTGTTGTTCTGAAGATAAAAGGCAATTTGTTGGACATCACGAGTGGACAGAGGGATTCCAGATAGGTCAACACTGTCGCTACTTAGCTTTTTCTGCAGAGTTGTCTTGAGACTGTTAGAAACATGAAGACAAAGACCTCGGAGTTAGCTTTGAACAGAAACTGAACACAAACAAATCAACAGAAATTTTAAACTGGACAGTAACAAGATCTTTTCTTGCGGTTTAGGTACCAAAAAAGTTATTTTACAGTGTGATGCAATCTTGTGAGGCATATTTAGTGCAAAGAAGCAGAACAGTGATTCAATCTGAAGCGGAAGGCTGATTCAATGGCAGCAGCATGAGGATTTATTGGTTTAAAGGGACGAGCCAAAAGAGCCAACAAAACTAGCAGCTTGGATTAAAAACTTAGAGCTGGGAAAACGGAGTCAAAGCAGTTTGAGTTTTAGGTATAAGATTATGTTTTGGTCTAGAAAATTAAGTTTATCTTTAGATTGTTATTTCATTATATTCATACAGTATGGCCAGACAGAAACAAATTATCTGTGTTGCTTTGTTGTGAGCAAGATGGCAGATTTAGGTGAAATCAGGTCAAATTTTAAGCACAGTTATAATACTCTGTGTAAAACCATAAACCTGTTTACTAAATTTGCAATAAAAGAAAGTTTTATGAACTTTTTGTTTTCCTGTTTCCATAAAATAAATTGCACATGAGAAAATATTCTGGTACTAATGAGGTCACATATAACATGTATTTGGGATAATAAATATATGCATGCGATTATATTTTTATTTACTAATGCACATATTGGTAAAAAAAACAACTTAAATAAATACAAATTAAATCTGTTACACCATGTGCCACCAACACTTCTGCATTTTATTTCTGACCTGAGCTAATTATTGGACTCTGCAAGGAAAAAAAAACAAATAAAATAAAAAAACAGGAGTTCAGAACCCAAAATACTAAGCAAAACATCAAGTAATATAAGTATAAGTAATAGTGTGGTTTATAAATCAAAATATTAATGCTGCTATCATGGAGCTCCCTTTATCTTGCCAACATAACTAGAAACACAGTTCAAAAGTTACATTTTTCTTTTATCAATGCCAGTGCCCTAAACTGAAATTTAAGCAAAGTGTCGAGTTAAACACTAAAATTTTATTTAATTTTTTCTTTGACCCTTGTTTGCTTCTGTAAATATCATAAAATGTTCCCCTGTAATTATGCCTAAATGCACAGGCATATGACTAAATGAGCTATAAAAACCTGCATGAGAACTTGTCCTTGATCAAGGAACCTGTGAATGCATTTATTTGTTACATTTCCTCTAAAACCAGAGTATTTTCTATAATAAAAGACATGCAGCTAGCAATATTCTAAAAGAAGCAACGGTAATTTAATGCATGCAAGTGATGAAGCTACCCTGCAATTTTATTAATAAATGAGTGAACGGTGATTCAAATATGTAATAGCAGCATCACCAAGACTCATTACACATTTGATTGATGTGAAGAGCATGAATTCACAATGTTTTCTGCTTTAAATCATCACAAGCAAAGTTTGAGCTTCCAGCAACTTATGTTTTACCTAAAAGAGTTGGCTGGGTGTCAGTGTGCTTGTTCTTTCATTTAATTGACTTTGCAGTCCGTTTAGAGGAAGATTTGTTTTGTTCTGTATGTTGTGCACATCTTCAGCCTGTTTGGTTTCAAGCTTCTGGCTTCTCACCCCTTCAGGAGATGGTGTAATAGTTCCTGATTTACGGTGAAGATAAAACATTATTATTTATATTCTCCTTTGGCCTTTTGTTCTCAGGCACCACTTCCCAGTGCCCATCTTCGCCCACCTTGGAGGGCGCAGTGCGTTTAACTCCAGCTCTTGCTGAAGTGGCCTGTAATGTTGACGTGGTGTCAGTGTGAATTAAAGCATCCTCCGGTGTCTGGTGACTTACAGCGACATCCCCTGCAGTATCTGTCACTGGTGATGCTTAGACGTGTTTTCCTCAGCAACATTTACTCCGATTAGAAAAAAGGAAAAGTTGAAATTTAAAGGAGGTTTGTGAAGATATACGGGCAAAAACAGAAAAGAAAAACTGCCTTTAAAGACAGGGAGGCCTAAATTTTAATGGGCTGTTCAGGATGATGTAACTTGATCATTTTCTCGATTTGTCCCCGAGTCAGAAACCTCAGCTTAAATAGAGGTGCAAAACTCCTAATGGCCAGGGAAGAGGCCTGTCTGCAGGTGTTAATAGTTCGATCACACATCTCTCTCCTTTTCAGACACTCTTCTTTTTCAGCTCAGGAAGCACAAAAAATTGATGTCTGCAGTGCCCCCTCACGCAGCCTCTTTCATCCTTCTTCCAGATTAATCTCGTAGCAGAAAACAAGAGTGTCACTGATAAAAAAAGATGTTTTCTGTGGTTTTACAGGTCATGAACACTGACAGAAGGGCTCGGTTTGAACGGCAAAACAGATTCACTGGGAACAGTGCTGAGGTGTAGTGCTGTTTACCTTTGAATGGAAATAAGACCTATATCTGTGGATCTTCAAAGCAAGAAAAACATTTTTTCTTTATTTATCTCATTTCAAACTGAATCCAAAAGGCACCAACATTATAATGGTCATCAAAAAGCTCTAGCATCTCAGTGGAGTCATAGATAAGCATTAAAGGATCAGCTAATCCATCCAGTTTTGATTGTAAATGCAAAATTATAACACTGATCACGCAGCGAGAGCCTCATCTGTCTTCATGTGTCAGGTGGTTTCACATAACGAGGCAGCGTTTAAATTCTGTAAGCTTCAGTCGAGCTGCTCCTACGAACGACTGGAATGTTGCATTTAGAATTGTTAACTAAAGCCAAGTAAGAAAATATATAATTGCATGTAAAAACTAGAATAAGGATCATTTTCATACTAACATCTCCCATGAACATGTTAAAGAGCTCTGTCATCAAAGCTGCCATTTTTCAGGAGATCATTTTCTCCCCGACTCCCCTCTGGGCTGCATTACTCACAGCGTTTTGCTTCATGCAGAGCAATTTGTCTTCGAATATTGCAGTTCTGAGCAAAACTTTTGAGTCATTCTTCATTTCTTTATATTATGCCTCAAGGGAACCAAATTTTCTTGTAATATTTCATGGAGATCTTGAAATTGCAGACTTTTTGGAGCTTGTTTAAAAAGTCCTGTCCAATTGGCCCAAAACTTGCCATGTCTTGGCATATTGTGCAATGTGCTTAGAAAACACCTATGCAAAGCAGAAAAAGTTACGATAAATAAAGTTGTGATTGCTTTAAATACATTTCTACAGCAGATAAACAGTATTTCATGTTTGTCTAAAAAAAAAAAAAAAAGATAAATCAGTTACAAGATCTGATTATTTAGTTCCAGGCTGCTAGTTGTCATCTCATTCATTAAAGTTAGGATCAAATATCGTTCAGTGAGTTGTTTATATTGTAAAGTTTGTTTGTTGTAGCTTTGGGCCAACTGGACAGGACTCATGCATCGCGGATTCGCTCTATCGTGGTTTTTCAGAATAAGATTGGACATGACACACAACTGGCTGATTGATGGATGAGCTGCACAATCGGCATGTAATTTTTTAGTTAAATTAAATTATTTTAAATTATGTAGCGCCTGTTGCACCTGTGTGCAGCCCACAGCTGCAGGAAAGCCTCAGCGGAGAAGTGGACGTGGCCGAGAGCGCTGGCAGGTGGCAGAGAGCAGCCGGAGGCAAAGAGAGCTGAAATCATGACATTCTGTGCTCTTTTAGAGCGTTTAGAGTTTAGAAACATTGTTTAGAACATTGCAAGAGAGTGGGAAGGGTTTAAAAAGTCTTTATATATACTAAATAAACTACTACTTACTACTTGTACTACTTGGCGGTTTTTCACTTATTGCAGGGCTTGAGGGTGCAGATCCCCTGTGATAAACAAGGGACTACTGTATTTGTGTAAAAAATAGAAATAAATTACATGTTGACAAGCTACTAACAAAAAAAATCTAAAGACATAACAGTTATACATCTGTTTCTGTGCTTAAAGGGAATAAAATTCATCGTAAAATAGCTTAAAAAAACAAACATTAAATTTTTCTTAAAAAATAAGTTAGGTATCAAGACTGTACTGAAAATGAGGTTTTTAAAAAATATTTACATAAAGCACCAAGTTTTTTGAAGCAAACATATGATGTAGTTTAGAACTTTTGCACAGTACTTTACTTGTTTTAGTATGTATTGGGTTACAGGCACATTGAAACAAACTTGACTGCTTCTTGTCATGTTACTTTCCTATTATTTATAATTATTACTCGACATGAAAAGGCTAAGGCAGGCAAAAATATTTTGCCCATGAGTGTGCAGGTGCCGTTCGTGTGTTTGTGTTTCTGTCTGTAGCAAAACTATTTCATGAACCACTGAGAAAACTTAATGAAACTTACTAAATGTAACCATTGGACATACATCAACTGTTAAGTTTTGAAGTTGATCGATTCAAGATGGCCGCCATAATCAATGGACCCAAAAAAGTCTAAACTCAGTCAGTTTTACAAATATTAAACTTTTCTGCAGTGAATCTACGTTTGTCGCTCCATAATGACATTTCTGCATTAATTGTCCCTCTGATAGGGATTGAGTCATTACTGTAGCAACATGTGTCCTGAGGACCACTTATTTAATCCACTTCATCATTTTTCCACTAGATTGCATTTTGTAATAATTTTACCTGGAGATTTAACATATGGACATGTAACTAACTAATACTGATGCACTACATAGTCCTTTCCTGGTAAATGTGATGAAAAACGAAGCTCAGCAGCCACCTAATGATAGCTTATTTTGTTCTGGGGAGTTCTGAAGCCCAATGGCAAGTTAATTAGAAGGTCAGATGAGGCTGATGGAGCAGGGGATGATTGTAAAAGATGCGAGAAAAAATGTCACCGAGTGCAGAGCTTTCGTGAAATAATTGAGAGTGGTTCGGCAGCATAGCTAGGTCATGGCTCCTATCAAGGCTATTGTTAAGCTTTTTAATTAAACAAGACAAAAATACAAAAGCCAAATCCAAACAATCTAATTATAGAAAACATTAGGATTAGTGAGACTTTGGTATTAATTCAGCGTATTGTAGCCAGAAAACTGTGCATGGTGTGCAGAGCAGAGGTAACGAAGGGATGAACAGTCCAGGGGCATTAAAATGAAAGAGCTGTTCCTGTTTCCTCTGAGCAGAGAGAAATCTCATAGGGTTGCAGGTTTGCATGGATGGTGAATATTTACCTGCAGCAACAAGAAAATGGAAGACAAAGTGTGATGTGGTAGTAGCTGAGCATCATCCCCAACACAGTCTAAAAGCTATACGTCTTGCATGATTGCATGAGATTGGGCATAACATCATTAATAAGGTTTGACCAAAATAGCTCTAACACCACCTCTTCTTACTTGATCTCAGATTAAACTGCTGCCATCAAACGAAGCGGGTGAGATGTTAGACTTTTAGTTAAAAACATGATTTTTTATTTTGTCAATTTGAAAAGGTAACTCATGTTTGTGAAACACTAAATCTTTAACATTTGCTCCCAAACACAGTGGAAAGGGAACTTGTCAGAGCTCTCAGCATTTTCTGTGTTAATATTTCGTTTTATGATGTACGTCTGTTGTAATGTTTTATGTTCCTTCTGCCCTCTCAGGCAGCGTACGTGTCTCCACAGATGTATAAAACCAGGAACTGAGTAACAAAAAGGCCTTCAGATATAGGATCGCTCCAAACTACAGTGTCAAAGATGTTGCAGCTGTCAGATAAATCTGTCATCTTTTCTCTTCTGGGCTGAATTCAACTTGAACATGCGCAACAAGGCGCAGCTGCTGGGGATTGTCAGCTAAATGTTTGATCCGCCTGATCCCTGTGAATCTGTCTTAGCCTTTTGTCTGCTTTCTTTAAGTCACTAGCTTGACGGACTCACAATAAGCCCACCTGATACCCCGCTGCTTGCATTGTTTCCTTTTATAGTTTCATCTCCAGAATATAAACTCATTCATTGTGTTTCATGTTGATGCAGCTGGCAGAACAAGCAATCACAAGAAGAACTGAAAGGATTTATTTCTGTTCGAAGACTTTTCTATCAGACAAAAAGCTGATTCAGTGATTAGCATATTGCACATGAAAAGCTGCTCCCTCCTTAAAGGGATGGTCCAGTTAATGTTCAAGTAATGTTCTCTCTAATAGTTATCAACAATTACAGTAATTTATGGACTATTGAGCACACCCAAATATAAGCTGCACCCACTATATATATATATATATAT